CTTCTCACAGAAGAATTTTATTTGCATTATCCCTGGTTCTGTTTTATATTTATAATTTTAAAATATTTTTATTATTTCATGTTGGTTCTTATAAACAACCTCAAATTCATAGAAGGGTAAAAATGTAATTGATCTGTTTAATAACTGTTACAATATTATGCAAAATGAATAGTCCTTTTCCTTTTACACATAGGATGTGTTTGGATAATACTTATACCAATGGAGAAAGATATAGGAAACTTGCATTTTTCTCACAAAAACCAGAACCATATGATAACAAATTTTCAAAATTAAATATAAAATCTTCAGTGTAAGTTACCTGAAAGTATAAAGGCATTAGTTGAAGTGTGTACTTATTTCAAAGCAGTTTTAAACAGGAAGGTTCATTTTTAACCCCTTAGAAATCATGTATAAGTAATATACTGCTTAACAACAGGGATATGTTCTGAGAAATGCAGTGTTGGGTGATTTTGTCATTGTACAAACATCACAGAGTGTACTTACATAAACCTAGAGGATATAGCCTATTACATACTTAGGCTATATGGTATAACCTATTGCTTCTAGGCTACAGACCTTTGTTGCGTGGTACTATACTGAAAACTGCAGGCAATTGTAACATAATGATAAGTATTTGTGTATCTAAATACATCTAAACGTAGAAAATGTATAGTAAAAATATGGTATTATAATCTTATAGGATAACTGTTATATATGCAGTCTGTCATTGACCAAAACATTGTTATGCAGTGCATGACTGTAATCTAATATTTTATTGATGAGGAGAAGCCAAGCTACTCACTTAAGGAATAGATCTATAAATGTGGTGTTTTAGTGAGCTTCATACTATCTGAAAACAACTTTTGTTCAATTATAACAATAATCAGCAGCCTGCAACTTTTGAATTTGGCTCTTGAAATTAACCCTTGGACTATGGAACCCCAGACCAACCTAGGATCACTAGGAACTCTGTCATCTGTGCTCCCTGGATAGCAGAGATCTGGCAGTACTTTGTGCATGGATAAGGAGCCCCTAACAAGGCACACCCTCACAGTACTTCAAAGTCAGCAGTAACTGCTGGGTAGGACAGGACACTAGCAACGGCAGCAGCCTGAGCCACAACTCTCCGATTCGTTAAAATGCTTCCAGATCACCCTGTCTATAAAATTTATAGGATGGAGGAGGAGGTGTCTTGAGCGTCCCCGAGCCCAAGAATAATGCCACCTTTGATCTGTAGAAATGAAAAAAATACAGCTTTTCCTTCGCAAGTGGGTTTTAAATATTTCTCCATTAATAGTTAATGCACATGCAGACCAGCAGAGTGACAGCTCCGTGTAATTATGAATTCTGGCTGCATAACTCTAGTCCAAATAGGAGCTGAACTTTCAAAATCATGGTGGTTACTTTTGACAAATTAAATTGTCCTACTTAGGAAGGTAGGAGGAATGAAGCGAAAGAAAGTGATAGAGTGGGAGAAAATCCTCCTTGGAGGTAATTCTCAGATTGAGAAAGAAAAAATGAGAAAGGACTACATTTGTGTTTTCTAGGCTGATGATACTGCCAATGTTTATTAAAAAATAGGTACAGAAGGTCTCTATTCAGAGGTAGGGCAAGACAGAAGGAGAAAGGGAAGACATTGGCAGTATGACTCACTATCTCAAAATAAGGAAGAAAGCATATTGAAGGGAATGGGTAGTTCTTAATAAGAATTAGGTTGCTCTTAAGACTCTGCAGTTTAAAATTAATTCAAAAAAGGTCTTAAATTTCTAACAATATGGTTTAAATAGAAAATCCACTTTATAGCCCATGGTAGTATTAAGGTTTCTAAATTATGTCAGGTGTATCAATGCATTCTTTGGCTGCTATATCCAATTCTTTGCCTCTATAAGTTCCTTGTGTACTTTGCTGGCTTTGAGTTACCAAAATATCACAATAGATGCCCCCTTCAGGAGGTCTACTGAGTAAATAATCTGGGGTATTTATCTATAGTTTTATATCTAGGAGTTTGGCCAAGCCATTTTCTAGTGGAGAACAGATTATAAAAATAGATAGGTAAAGTAAGGAAGGTAGTGTCTAATGTTGAAAATGCTAAATAAGCTTAACTCTCACTGATTACCATTTTACTAGATTTTCTCTAACCCGAATTTCCAAATGTGCAGTTAGTTTGATATCAATCATGTAAGGTGCTTGTTCAACAATATATAGAGTCAAGGTATTTTTCTTGGTGTTCTACAAGTATTTTAAGAAATAAAGATGATATAGATAGATTGAGGTGGACTAGAAATGTTGTGAAATGGCTTGAGGGCCCTGTTGAATGTGACAATAATGGGGGAACATGAATAGTAAATGTTCTGTAGTGCAAGGGATAGTCCCACAAACTAACAAAACATTGTGTTGTTCCAAATGTCAATGGTGCCCTTAGTAAGAAATGTTAATAAAACATCACTATATTTGGGGGCCAACGAATATAAAGATTAGAAATTATTAAGATGTGTTAAATTATATTTAAAGTCTAGGAAGGCCTGGGGACCAACTGAGAAACTTTACTTTTTCAGGGGTTCCTATGATCAATAGACTACAAATCGCTCTTCCCCCAGTGCATGAGTTCAGTTGATTCCTGGAAAAGAAGACTAGACCAGAGGAATAGGATACTGAAAATGTTGACCTAACCTGAAAATCCCTGGGTATTCTTGGAGAAGACCTGAAATTAACACTCTTCCATCAGTTTTTCTAGTTCAGAAGCCACCCCAAGTTCTAAATGACTCCTTAGTCAATATCCTCAGGTTTGTTTTAGAGGTTTCCAAACCTCTGGAATAATTTGGGGGCTCATATAAAGACTTGCTCTTGGTTTCTAACTCAATCTTTAATTTTGCTTATAAGCCAAATGCAAAGTTAGTGCTAGTCTAATGAGTGGAGGGAGCTCTGCTGAGCTCCTAAAAGCAAAAGAATGGTGACAGGACATGAGTCATAGATGAAAAACCACAGTACAGAAAATGTTTGGAAAAATTCTATAACTCAGAAGTACTGAGTGGGTGGCATAATGGCCTTCAATATGCCAGAATGGGAATTCTCCGGCAAAGCACTTACAAGGAAACCACAAGAAATAGAAGACAGCATTTTTTGTTCGATGATTTCCTATTAATTGTGATGTAAATTATATGGATGTGATTTTGACAAAGAATAGCACTGTTTCTGAAAAAACAGTGGCTTATGTGCAAAATACAAAATGTATCCAGAAGAAAAAAAATATTATTTGATATCATGAGTGCAATAAAGTCTGAGATATGGCTTAAGATTAGGCAACTTAAAAAAAATTTTTTTTATTATCTCAAATTCTGTGGGTACAAATATTGTTAGGGTTACATATCTTGCCCCTGCCCCACCTACCCACCCCCCTATGCCAGAGCTTCAAGCGTGTCCAGCCTCCAAGTGGTGCGCACTGCACCCACCATGTAAGTGCGTACCATTCCCCTTTTCCCCCCCTTCCAAGATTAGGTAACTTTTTATATTTGTTTTTCCTATTTGGCTCAATTTTTAATGCTTAAGTCTGAGGCATAAAATATTTTTCTATCACTAATTAATATAGACTTATAGGCTTTTTTCATATGTAATTTCTGATCCTGACATAAAATGTGAAATCACTTAGCTTTGGTTACATTAGGCTGAGACTACTACTATAACACTATGTATGCTATAAGATATATTGGATAGCTTTGTTGTTAATGTGGGCAGGTATCCATACAGGAAACAGCTAATAGTCAACAAACTCAATTAATGTTGGACCGAATTTTTAGAGAGTAAAATGTTCCCATTTGTTGAGTCCCTGGAGAGCTTATATCTTCTCTTAACTAAGATGATTCCCAGGGGACACTAATTAAAGTCAACCACATCCTTAGAAAGTACAAATCTCTCTCTTTATGGGAGGTAAAAGTTAAAATTATTTATTAAAGAAAGGTAACTTAAAGTGATCAAATTGGGGAAGAAAGAAGACAACTTTTATTTGACCTTGAATGTACTTCTTATTCTATAAGAAATTTTAAAAAACTAGAGGGTAGTTGTTTCTTGTCATTATACTGTTGCTGATTCTGTGGTTAGTTATTAATTTTATTTTTTATGATTCGCAATCTGCTCTTTGAAATATGCCATATGCTCAAAGCAATTCAAGGATGACAACTGTCAGAATTACTCCAATAAAAATTGCCTAAATGAGGAAGATTTACTGCAGTCTGATATTTCAGTGGAAAGTCTCTCTTCCCTCCCTGACAGCTTTTTCAGGCACTGTGAATCTTGCAACCATTTATTCATTCAAAATCATGATTGTTTTACAAGAACTTCTAAGACTATTGAAGTAGAATTGGTAAAACACACTAGGTTAAGGGTGAATTAGCAGACATGAAAAACAATATAGATAGTTATTAGATGGATTGCTTACAATCAGTATGTGAGTTCCCAGCCAGTTTTCTTAAATCACATGCAAATGTATTGACTTAATATGACAATGTCTGCTCTATGTATCACTAATAAACATTAAATTGGATGAGCCCTACACCCTGGCAGCAGCAAGCCAAACTGAAGGCAAATTTCTTTTTCCTTTGGGAAGATCTGAGGGGGTGCATAGAATCCACCTGAGTGCTCCAATCACAACACATTCTGTTAAATGTTACCAGTCCATTTATCCTTTGTTTTGTTTCAGTCTATTTATTAATGCAGTTTCATTTATTGCTATTCATCTTGAAGATAAATCTTTGTCGTTCTATAGAATTACACCAAATAGAATGTGATAAAGGGAACTTTCTTGCAATTATGATGTCGGTGCAGCCTGTCAGCACACAAGGGATGGAAATGAGTTTGGGGACAGGGAAGGGAATTCTAATAGACACCATGATACATACAATGAATGAAAAGATATCCTAAGAGAGAGAGAGAGAGAGAGAGAGAGAGACTTGTCAGGCTAATCAGATCTTCTACAGCAAGGTAAAGGCAGGAAGGGTAGCTCTAACCTTGTAAAGATGCTGCTGCTGCTCCTCTGACATCATCAGGTCATGGCTGTCCATCACGAGGGACTCCATGTCAATCAGCCAATCCCAGAGTTCCTGATATTCTGAATCAAAGTCCAGAAGCCTAAAGATAAGGCACAAAATGTAATATGCATAAATACAGCATAGTAGTTAAAACCTCATATTAGGATAATATATTCTCGAAAAATTCTCTGTGTTGTTACACAGTGGGCAAAATAGGAACCAAGCCTGTGACACAGCCACCTCTTGGATTTTGAAAACATAACATGCAGTTCCAATGCTCATATTTCCATTTGCTAACCCTTTCTGAGGATTTGCAGCACTTGAACAAAATGAACAATACTATGTCCTTGAAAAAGGGCATTGCCATTTGACAGATTGAGAGATATGGACAGTTAATGACTTGTAGAAGATTACATGGTCCAGAATTTGGGTAAGAACAGTACCCTCAAACTTTGAGCCTCTTTCTCATCCTAGATGTTTCATAGATATTACATCCCAATAGATTTATGATTGAGAATACTAATTTGGAAGATGGTGGAGAAGAAAAACCACCAGCCAGAGTATCTCTGCAAGAAAGACAAATTTTAGATGAAAGTGAAAAAAACAAACAGGCAGAAAAATATAGATTGGATGAGGGTCAGAAGGAAGGATGCCTGAAACTACAATAGACCCCACGGGAAGAATGTGCAGAGCAGAGCCGAAAGGAGAAAGGCATCAGCAGGGTCTAAAGCCCAAGAAGCTTGGAGACCAGCAACAAGGGTAGGCAGAGAGGTTAAATTTCCCCTCCCTTGCATCTTGGACTGCTGGTGGGCTCCTGAGCTGCTGGAGAGACTTGCCAACCCCAGGCCAGAGGTGCCTGCTGCCAGTGAGTGGTGAGCCTCTTGCAGACAGGGCACCAGGCTCCCAGCTCCTTCGGGGCACCTCCCACCTCACAGACCCATGCCAATCAGCAAGTGCCATATTGCTTCACTTTCCTCTTCCCCTCTCCTACCCACAGCTGCTGAGAGAGACAATTTAGTCACCACCCAGAGGCATCCTCAGGGAATGGGACCTTTCCTCTTGGGGCCCTGTAGTGGACTTAGGGAAACTCGGACTGTGAGCTGCCTACCTGCCAGCCCTCCCAGGTGCTACTTGCCCAGTGACTCTAGCAGAGCAGGGCAAATCCCAAGGCAGAGAGACATTGATCCAGCGAAGACACCCCGTGGGTGACTTGAGACCAGCACTCTTCTCCCTGGCAGGGTCAGGGATTGATCTCCAGGGCCCAGGGGCAGGCCTACAGGCCAGATTCCATATGCCTAGGTCTCAATCACACTGACCCTGGGCACAGAAGGGATATTTATGAACTAATATACTGAGAACTGTGGCCAAAATAAACACAAAAGAGGCCCTCCTACAAGCTGTAAGGTGAAAGAAGTAGGTAATCTACAAAGGAAAACTCATCAGACTAACTGCAGACTTCTCAACAGAGACCTTACAATCCAGAAAAGACTAGGGCCTCATTCTCACTCTTTTGAAACAGAATAATACCCAGCCTAGAATCTTGTACCCTGCAAAACTAAGTTTCTTATACAAAGGAGAAATAAAGACATTCTCAGACAAGCAAAGACGGAGGGAATTCATCAAGACAAGACCTGCCCTCCAGAAGGTACTCAGAACAGTGTTACACATGGATTAGCACAATAAACACTCACCAATGTAAAATCATCCAAAGGCTAAAGGTCAAAGGCCAGATACACAATGGCTCAAGAGAGAAAACACAGCAATAAAGTTCCACTCAACAGGATAAACAGATATCTGCCCTGCTTACCAATTCTTTCAATAAATGTGAATGGCTTGAACTGCCCAATAAAGAGGCAGAGGTTGGCTGAATGGAAAAATATATACAAGCCAAGTATCTGCTGTATTCAGGAAACACATCCAACCCACAAGGACACATTCAGATTCAAGGTGAAGGGATAGAAAACAATATTTCATGCAAATGGAAGCCAAAAGAAAGGCATAGCAGTTCTGATTTCAGATAACTTAGTCTTCAAATCAACAAAAGTAATGAAAGAGAAAGATGGTTACTGTATAATGGTAAAGGGTACAATTCAACAAGAAGACACAACAATTCTAAATATTTATGTACCTAACGAGGGCCATCAAGTTTCAAAAAGCAAATCCTACAAATAAAATAATAAACAGCAACCCTGTAATAGCTGGGGACTTCCAACACGCCTCTAACAGAACAGGACAGATCCTCAAAAATAAACAAGGAAACAATGGATTTAAACAGAACTCTAGAACAAATGGGCTTCACTGACATTTACAGAATATTCTACCCAAAACCACTGAATATATGTTTTTCTTATCAGCTCATGGGACATTCTCTAAGACTGACCATATCCTAGGCCACAAAGCATGTCTCAACAAATCTGAAAAACCAGAAATTATGCCATGCATCTTCTCAGACCACAGTGGAATAAAATTAGACAGAGACTCTCATATGTACACAAATTCATAGAAACTAAAACAACCTTCTGCTGAACAATTATTGCATTAAGAGGAAATTAAGATAGAAATCAAAAGATTCTTTAAACTAAATGATACAGGAAACACAAGTTATGAAAATCTGTTGGACATAACTAAAGCAGTCCTGAGAAGAAAATTTATATCCATAAATGCCTACATCCAAAAGACAGAAAGATCACAAACCAACAACCTAATGAATTGTCTCAAATAACTGGAAAAGAAAGAGCAAACCAACCCCAAACCCAGCAGAAGAAAATAAATAACAAAGATCAGAGCAGAACTAAATAAAATTGATAACAAAAAAACTATACTAACAAAACAAAAAGTTGGTTATTTGAAAAAATAAACAAAATTGATATGCCTCTTGCTAGATTAATGAGAACCAGAAAAGAAAGGACTCTAATAAGCTCAATCAGGAATGAAAAAGAAGTTACTACTGATACCACAGAAATACAAAATATCATCTATGAATACTATAAAAACTTCTATGTGCATAAACCTGAAAATGTGGAGCAAATGGACAAATTCTTAGAAACACACAGCCTCCCTTGGCATTCCTGAACAGACCAATATCAAATACCAATATTGAAGCAGCAATAAAAAAACCTTCCTAAAAAGAAAAGTCCTAGACCAGATGGTTTCACATCTGAATTTTACCAGACCTATAAAGAACTTGTGCCTATCCTGCAGAAATTGTTCCACAACATTGAGAAGGAAGGAATCCTTCCCAAGATGTTCTACAAAGCCAATGTCACCCTGATACCAAAACCAGGAAAGGATGCAACACAAAAGAAAACTACAGACCAATATTCCTTATGAATATAGATGCAAAAATCCTCAACAAAATCCTAGCAAACAAAATTCAGGTGCTTATCAAAAAAATAATATGTCACAACTAAGTGGGCTTTATCCCAGAGATGCATGGATGGTTCAACATATGCAAATCTATAAATGTAATTCACCACTTAAACAAAAGCAAAAACAAAGACCACATGATCTTCTCAATAGACACAGGAAAAGCATTTGACAAAATTCAGCACCCTTTTATGATAAGAACACTTAACAAAATAGACATAGATGGGATTTACCTGAGAATGAAAAAAGCCATATATAACAAACCCACAGCCAACATCATACTGAAGGGGGAAAAATTGAAAGCATTCCAGCTTAGAACTGGAACCAGACAAGGTTGCCCTCAACTACCACTTCTATTCAACATAGTGCTGGAAGTCCTAGCCAGAGCAATCAGATAAAAGAAGCAAATCCAGGGCATCCAAATGGGGGCAGAAGAGGTCAAACTATCACTCTTTGCTGACAATATATCTAGATTTTATATGTAGAAAACCTCAAAGATTGTGCCATGAGACTGCTGGATTTGATAAACAAATTCAGCAAAATCTCAGGTTACAAAACTCAATGTACAGAAATCAGTAGCATTCCTAAATGCCAACAACAGTCAAACTGAGAATCAAATCCAAAGACTCAGTACCCATCACAATAGCAACGAAAAAAATTAAAATACCTGGGAGTATATTTAACTAAGGAGGTAAAAGACCTCTATAGGGAGAACTATGAAACACTGAAGAAGGAAATAGCACAGGACATAAACAGGTAGAAAACCATACCATGTTCATGGGTCCGCAAAATCGACATTGTTAAAATGTCTATACTACCCAAAGTGCTCTACAGATTCAATGCATACCTATTAAAATACCAACATCATTTTTTGTAGATCTAGAAAAAATAATTTAACACTTTGTATGGAACCAGAGAAGATCCTGTATAGCAAAAGCAATCTTAAGCAAAAAGAACAAATTGGGAGGCATCAATTTACCAGACTTCAAGCTATACTACAAGGCTATAGTAACTAAAACAGCATGTGATTGGCACAAGAACAGACACATAGACCAATGGAACAGAACTGAGAACCCAGATATAAAACCATCCTTGTATAGCCATCTAATCTTTGACAAAGCAGACAAAACATACACTGGGAGAAGGAATCCTTATTCAATAAATGATGCTAGGAAAACTGGATAGCCACATGTAGAAGACTGAAACAAGATCTGCACCTTTCACCTCTCACAAAAAACAACAGTGGATAATAGAGTTAAACCTAAGGCATTAAACTATAAGAGTTCTAGAATAAAATGTTGGAAAAACTCTTATAGACATTGGCCTAGGCAAAGAATTTATGAATAAGACCCCAAAGGCAATCATAGCAACAATGAAAATAAATAAATGGGACCTGATCAAATTAAAAAGCTTCTGCACAGCCAAGGAAACTAACACAAGAGCAAGTAGACAACCTACAGAATGAGAGAAAATATTTCCATGCTACATATCCGATAAAGGGCTGATAACTAGAATCTATATAGAAGTCAGGAATATCAACAAGAAAAAATCAAACAAGACTATCAAAAAGTGGGCAAAGGACATGAACAGAAACTTTTCAAAAGAAGATAGACTAATGACCAAGAAACATGCAAAAATGCTCAACATCCTAATCATCAGGGACATGCAAATCAAAACCACAATAAGATATCATTTAACTCCAGTGAGACTGGCGTTTATCAAAAAGTCCCAAAA